AGGAAGAAATCTTAGCTGAGGCTTGAATCCTCACAAGAGAGTCAATTACTTTTTTGTTGTTCCAGACCCCAGACACAAATCTCACACACCTTTCTTTGCTGAAAATTTGGCTTTCTAAGGGGAACTCTAGATGAATGATTCACTCCATTGTCCAAGACTACATAAATGTGGGGTTAGGTGATGCAAGGAAGAAGTGATTACACATAGAAATGGGGAATGTATAATACCAATCAGATTATGTGACTAGGGCACTTACCTTGGTTGACAAAAAAATCTGCCACATACTGTGTAACTGCTACAGCTTCTTCAGAATGATTTATGGCCTCGTGAAGGGTCCATTCAAAAGAGTTCTTTTCAGGATGCCATTGTGTACCATAAAATGGATAGTCATATGCTATGGAAGATGAGAAATACTGATAAGAGACCTTTAATATGGTAGCCCATGAAAATATCCATACATGGAGGATGTACAGTCAAATTTTTATTGAGTGGCCACAGAAATGGGATGGTTTAATTTTTAGCATGGGACCATCTACAGCCTCACAGTAAGCATGCTAGACCATGCTAGAGACATCCGTGTTTGGAGGCCTAGCCAGTCATTGTGTTCTGTATTTTGAGCAAGACAATTGTCTATCACAGTGCCTCTCTCCATGCAGGAGTATAAATGGATACTGTTAACCTGTTGGGAAAGCCCTACCTTCAACTGTTGATACAAACTCCTTTCCTTTCTTGCCTCTGTTGGTTGATAGACAATTGTAGAACTTCTTTAACTGCTCATCTTGTGAATATGTCTAAAATGATAATATTGTGACGTCACTATCTTTCAAAAGAAAACTCTTTGTCCTACTGTCACACATAATCATGATAACATCAGGCAGTAGACTGATATCTCAGGTGGGCTTTTCAGGTCAAGTACAAAAAAGCAAACAGGGAAAGAATAACATAAAGAGTTGAAAAGATAAGGTGACAAAAATATTGCAAGTAAGGGGACACACAGTTGGTTATCCATTCAGAGCTGACCTGTTGACCTTGGGAAGGTAAGAAACCAAGTGTAGCAGAGAGCTTGAATGGGAAACATCATGCATAATCCAAAATCATCTTAGATGTGCTCTTAACCCCTTTACATATAGCCAGACTAAAAATATATTGCTAATGTAATAGTATGAGAATTAGTAATTGATGATTTTCATAAAATAATTTAATTTTTCACTTATTTAATCAACAATTTATTCAAATTTGTAAGGAGAAAATCAGTGTTGAAAATACTTAGCATGCTTCCAGGAACCCTTATCCTGTTTTAGACCAAAGCAACTGATTTCTCCCTGTTTTTTTTTTTTTTTCAGAGTCAAACTAGTTACTCATTAAAGAAAAAAAATTAAATAAAAAAAAAATATATCAAAATCAAGACCCAAACCAAACCCAAATGGTAAAAAATTTACTGGTTTTAGAGCAAGAGGGATACATAACCATAGGTGTTTTAATCACCCTTATGTAGCCTTTGTATGTGATTAGACCTCTAATCTACGAACAATCCAACCTAAAATATATACTTGCCTCTGTAGATATACACTCCCTGTGATGGTTATAAGTAACATTGTCTGTTTTCAGGTAAGTTATTATGTTTTCAGGTGCAGATCCTAAAAGGCGACTAGATTTGTAACCTAGAAATATAAGAGAGGAAAGGACTCAAGATCTAATACTGAAAACACCACTTGAATTTCTTGTAATAATAATAATAATAATAATAATAATAATAATAATATAATAATAATAATTATGATAATAATAATAATAATTATGATAGTAATAATAATAAAATGTTGTTTAAATTCTCACCTTCACTGAGATTCAAAGGAACACTAAAATCTTCACCATCCACATCTGATGTAATCTTTCTTCCACCGGCTCCTTGAACACTGAGAAACTGAAATCCCAAGCAAGTTCCCCAGAGTGGAAAGACATCTCCAGCATCATTGGCCTTCTTTGCCAGATTAAAGATTATATTGCCTGTTCTTGAGTATGGCGAGTCATATATATCTGCTCCACCACCAGGAAATAAGACGCTATATCCAAAAAGAAAACACATTAACCCTTTAACTCCCAGATCAAATTTGTAATTCTTCTTACTGTCAACCATGTAATTCTTATAATGTTAGTTCAGAGAATTTAGTATTGGATCAACTAATTATCCCCTAATTGATAATTTTCTTTATTCTCATCACTTATCTGGTTGACATTGTATTAATATTGTAACACAAAATTCTGTCTTGGCCACTTATGGGTATTGAAGGATTAAGAGAAAATTAGTCATAAATATTTATCAAATTTGCTGTTGTTCACATATTCATTTGATTTAAAATTTTTAAAACTACTTTGATTTTAATTTTTCTTTGGCTTGTATTGATAATTATCATGATCTGAAACAAACTGAAATTGATGGGAGAATTTTAGATCAAACTAGGCTTTGAGCCACAAGATGTGCCTAACCTAGCAAAGCGTTTGTTATTGTCACATAAGTATGGATATCTTAAATTTACATCCTCAGGTAAATTTACTTCATGCAATAGTTGCTCGGATGTGGCACAATATGTTTTCAAAAATATGAGATTGTTCCAAAAATGTCTTCAAGTTCATGGGTTAACTTCACACTGCTTTCAACCAACAATCTCAATTAATTTAAAATTGTTCAACAATTTGTGGCTACCAGATGAGTGCACACTATGTTAAAATTAAGACATCTTTTAGTCATCTCACCCATTGATTGACTTAAACAAATCTTCTAACTGATCCTCTGTCAAGTTGTTTCTGCCATTAGTTAATAAAAACAGCCTTCTCACAATATAAATTATAATGACACTTGTTGATAATTATACAGCCTCTAATACTCCATGACATGTCCCATTTAACAATCGCGACTTCTCAGAAGCTGAATAATTCAAATGAAATTAGCACAAATTTCATGATTACCAAGGATATTTTGATCTTGGGATTGTTCATAAAACCATATTAATTTTCCCTCAATTAATCAAGAATGAATTATGCATTGTGGTATGACAAATATGCAAAATTCTACAAAATGTGTAAAGTAAGGAGAAAGTGGAGGGAAAAAGATGGTTGGAAAAGGCATTCAAAAACCAAGCTCTGCTTATTAATAACCAAAAGGAAACTGATCAAATACAATTGAAAACCATTACTTATCAATTAACTATTTCACAGACCAGACTACCAATAAGAAAATTAACCGACAAAAACAATACAGTAGAGCGCTGCACTGGTATTGCAGAGGTCATGGGTTCAAATCCCGAACGGGCCTGAATTTTTTTCAGGTCCTATTTACGACTACTCGTTTCATTAGTGTTCTTAGCAGCAAGGATCCCTTAATTTCATCTTTCCACCGCAGTGCAAATATGTGAATTTTCATATATCTAAAATCTTTAAAAACAATACCCTTTGACTCTCAGAATGACCATCATTTTGATGTGCTGAAATATCCACTGTCTCCAACCGACAAAAGCCCTTTTCAGACCTACCCTATAGCATGTTCACATTTAAATCAGTCTTAAACTCATGAGTATAATGTGGAAGAAATAAAGTACCTTCTCACCTACCAGTACCTACTCTCTGCTAAGGTTTTACACTTCACAGCAGATTGAACTTGGTGTACAGCTGTTAATTTTAATCCAAAAAGTGCATATTCAATCTAACCAATCACTTTGCGAGCTAAAAATAAATTGCAGAATATTACACTTGTGTTAAAGGATACCGAATTGGTACAACTCTTCCTCCAGCAGACTCTATGTACTTGATGTAAGAGGCAACAATGTATGTTCGCCCAAAAGTCTGGACATAGCCATCTGTGTTTTGGGCCAGAATTCCTTTCAACAGTAAAACAAAACACAATAAAAATAAATGCAAGACTGGGTTCTGATGTCATATGCAGAAAAATATTTAATAATTTCAAGTGACATATCAATTAACCTCAGCAGGAAAAAGAATGGAGTAAAATCCCTTCTCTAAAACATCACAAGATGAGATGTATGACTCTGCAGTTGCCAAAAAAGAAATCTACTATAGTAAAAAAAAATTATGTTTTAGGCTGAATGAACGATTTGGACTTTACACTTTATTTTTGTTAACATATAAACTATTCCTTCGACCTGTAGATAGATGCTAATCGAGAATGTTTGTGTTGCTGTAAATTTTTTGAGCCAGAATATCCAATATTAATTGGATTAATTAATTAATTGTATGCTAATCACATAGAATAAACGTATGGTTTGAATAAATTATTTTTGCATTTGATGCACACGCTTTGCTTATGCTTAATTATGATAAACTATCTCGTATTTCTCCACATATATTATTAACAAGTAATCTCAGGATTTTTCTCGTGCAATTTGAAATAAACAAGCACTGGTTATTTTTTTCAAAGACCACTTTGAAAAAAATTTCAATACAGCTCTTCGACTTCTCCTACTGAGAGGGATAAACACCAAAGTAATTGTATTTTCGTTAGATATAATTATTCTGAATAAATTCAGCAGATCCCTCGTTGCAAACTTAAGGTAAAACAATAACACTGAAGGCAACTACGTGATTTTTGGGGCTTTGGTTACCTCGGATCTCCTCTTAAAGAAAAATGACATCTCACAACACGATCATATGTATGACTCACCTATGATGGGCCGATCTGTTTTTATGTCGGAAGATAATCGATTTTCTTGCAACGAGCTGTGGACCCAAGGTCGAGTCTCGCCAGGGACACTTAGCAAGCTAATAGCGAACACAACTGTCGTAATAAGCTGCATCTTCTACACGCTTCCCAATCGACACTGGCGAACTTCCAATGATCTGCTAAGCAAAACCAATAAGTGCAAGTACAGCCAAAATCGCCCCAGGATAAATACTCAAATAACTGTTGGAACGCATCACATGCCTCCTTCGTGACTTAGACGACAGTGATTGACTAGGCGTTCCAACCTTGGTTACCAATCTCCGCGCTTCGAGCGAGATTGAAGATGGCGGCACCGGTGCTGAGAGTTTCCAGAAGATGTCTTTGCTCTCAGGCCACTAGAACGCGTGTAACAAGACCAAGATCGCATATTGACAGAATAATTCGCGTAGACCATGCAGGAGAACTGGGAGCTGATCGAATATATGCTGGGCAGATGGCAGTTCTCGGAAAAACTAGCGTAGGACCAACCATCCAGGTAGATCTCAGACTTCTTGGGCTTAATTTTTCTGATTTTCTGTCGATGTTCTCAAAAGCTTACGGGGCAGGTATGATCGGAAACTTTTACACCTTTGTTTACTTATTTTTAATACAAAAGTTTTGAAACAGGTTCTTCAAAATAAGTGTTATTTCAAAGCCGGGTAAAATTTCCGCACAGCCCCATACTACATTGTGCATTCAGTTCTTGGATAGAGAAAACAATGACAAAAACAATACATTGCCATTGAGAAAACAGATTTGTTTTACAATAGTATGGGGCTGTGCGGAAATTTTACCCTAAGCTGTATGGGATTTCTATGTCTAGACGGCTTTCGGTCATCTCTCCTACGGAAAGTCCCTCCCCACTTATCAAAGGGCTACTGTACAGACCATCCGTCCAACTACCACGTTTTGACATTTCTGTGTGATCCTTATTTAGGCCAGGTTGTCTTTTAAGCCTATGATGATATTCCACGAGACATCCTCGATACAGAAATTGAGTTTTTTTGACACAACGTAGGAAAATATTGGCCTATCTATAGAGTGGAATGTACATGCCAACAAGGGCATGGATTCCTCTGTTAATGGATCATACTGGGTAAAATCCCCTTCAAAAAAAAAAATGTAGAATGCAGTAGATTATGTAATTATAATACGATTGTTTTGTGTGCATAAACAGGTGGAAGTATTTGTTTTTATCTTATGTTATTTTGTTTGTAGTAAGGTAATAATAGTTGCTGATTGCATCATATTGACTGATACACAATTAGTCTTAGTACACATACTGACCAGCATGTTGAAAAATAATAACTTTAATTATTCTTTTAAAAAATTGATAGCATATGTGGGATCAGGAAAAGGAACACCTTAAAAAGTTTGAGCAGATTGTGGCTGAGAGAAGAGTCAGGCCCACAGCTCTGATACCTCTGTGGAATATAGCAGGATATGTTTTAGGTATAGTTGATGTAAGTGTTAGAAATATTTAAATGTCCAGAAACCTACAAATTAGTCACAAACCTTTCATGATTATTTAAATATATAAAGAGTAATAATATCAATTATGTATTTTCTCTTTTTAAGTACAATTATCGCCTTCATTCTCTTTGTTCTCTTAATTTGAGCCCTGTTTCTCTCTAAAAGGAAGGAACTATTCATATGCGAAAGTTGGGTTTATTTTTTTGCCAAAATGTAAGTGGTTATTCAGGCTGAATATTCAGGCCTAATGTTAAACTAAATCTGTGTGTTTCATGCTGGCTCAGATAATTTTCCTACCAAGGGAAAAAGAAGTGGTCTCTTCAAACCAATATTGACAGGGAGGTGGAGAGATTTTCAAAACAAATTGCTGCTCAAGGTAGAAAAAATCGTGCTTCATTTGAACCAGACTCAATTGCCTGTGAGACTTGTACCTTAACTGTTTTGTGAGGTGCAAAACTGATTCGTAAACTTAAGTATGGGTAGCTAGCACCTTCAGATTCTTATTTTTGTTGGCTCATCCTTGGTTAATTTTATACTTTGTATGTAGGAGCAGGAACTGCTCTACTTGGGAAGGAAGCTGCCATGGCTTGTACTGTAGCTGTGGAAGAAGTGATCAGTGAACATTACGACAAGTGAGCTGCATTATGTTCTGTCAGTAATGGCGGCTAATTACTCTTTTCTTAAAATATTTTGGGTTTTAGTTTTGGTTGCTAGATCTGTTTAACTCCCAATATTTAGTCATAGATAGTTATTTCTTGTAGCTGCCACAGATTTTGTTTTTTGCTGAGTTGTTTATGGGTGCATAGAGAATTTGGTGTCGTAAACCAAAATTCATTCTTGTGTAGTTAGTTTAGGGACTCTTATGTGGATGGGATGTAATTACTGTCCTGAAATGTGTTTTTGTTGGAGTGGAATTCAACCTTAAAAAAAGCTTTGCATTTCTATATCTTGAAGAAATACACTGAATTTCATTTAAGAAAAATTTAATGGCTGACCTCTGAAGTTTTATTTAATTAGTGCCTTGAAATTCACAACACATACTCTAATGTGCATATTACAGCATTCAACAATAAAATAACTATAACTGGTTAAAATGAAAAATTGAATAGGCACATGTAATTTTATCTCTGAAAAATAGTTTGCTTCAATTTCAGTCAACTGAGAGAGCTGCTAGTAGAAGGGGTGACAGATGAAACTAAAGATTTATTAGATGTAAGTTGGAATTCCTTGTTTACTGAACTTCTATTTATTACTAGGTAGCAATGTTTTCTTTCCCTGCCAAAAAAAACTCTTGAAAAATTCTCTTGAGTTAAATAATTTTCTGAACAGTAGTGAGATGTTAAGAAAGCAGTACCACGAAACAATTTTTCTCAATATCAATGACACTAATGATCTAGAAAAAGAAAGTGGTTGCTGCCAAAATAAACATGGTATATATTACTGGTTTGTTTCTAACCTGGAGAATCTCATTAATTTATTTTGAAAACTAAATTGAATTAAGTTATTTCATGACATAAACCTTTGCAAATTTTAGACAATACAAAAGTTTCGTGATGAAGAGTTAGAACATCTCCACATCGGGGAGGAACATGATGCTGAAAAGGTAAGCTGCTAATGTATGGTGTACCAGAGTTTGCAGGGTTTATTTGTTTGTTTCTTTGTTGGTATCCATATTGTTTAAAAAATCAATGTGGGGAATTAGCGTCAAAGCTACAGTACTGTGATAAAAAAGGCAGCAGGATTTGGTGTTACTTGGCCTTACTTAGAATTTTAAAATTGTTACCATACGTAGAGT